TTGTACAAGAAGCTATTTGGTTAAGAAGGTTCCTTCAACATCTAAGAGTTGTCACAAATACTTTGGGCCCAGTTATAATTCATTGTGATAACAAGACTGCATTAGCTTATGCTAAGGATTTTAAGTATTATGAAAGAACCAAACACATAGATTTAAGATATCATTACATCAGAGACATAACTGAATAAAAGGAAGTGATCTTGGAGCATATAACTACAACTCAGATGGTTGCAAACCCCCTAACTAAGCCTATAGCTAGAGATATGTATATGGCTCAAGTTAGAACTCTAGGATTTTGTAGGTATTGATTATGTGCTATTGATTGTATGGATCACATAATCATTTGTATTTACATTTTTGGGATATTAATACATGGGTTTATTTTCAATTGAATGTTATATTTCTTGATCACCCTAGTATTTGAGAAACCACACACATTAAGTATGTCAACAGACATGATTGGCTCACTCACATTTTCAATCGCTTTTGGTGCTTGAGATGGCGAACAAAGATGAGATACTCAAACATATATTATCACTTTGTTTTGTATGCAAAATGAGATTTGACATTTGAGCATCGATAGTGGACACAACTCCATGTTCATTAGCAAGATGCAAGTTCTTAATTTGGCACTTTTTGAGGGTGAGCAAATAGAGAACTCATGTTAGGCGCTTGTAAAGCGATTAGACTAAGAACTGCATGGTGTCTGAGTATGACATACACTCTCATTAAGATCGAGACACTCTAATGTAGCTTTCATTTCATACTACATGTGCTTGGCAACCAATTCAGGACGTGAAGGAATGAATACCTACTTCCTCACTGTGTGAGTCCTTCAAGTCATTTTTAGACGAGGGTTATTTTTCATCAAATATTCAATTTATTCTTTTACTTTTGACGATATCATGAAGTGAAAGAATTAATGCTCAACTACTTTATCATGTTACCTACAGCCATGAGTGATTTGGCCTTTTGGGAAATTGATGGAAAAATGGTTAGTTTTGAACTAAGTGATATGACGGCGAAAGGAAGACCATTCAGAACATCCCACGATGTATTCATTGTCGACAACTTTGGGCACTAGTTTAGACAATGACAAAGTGTGAATATATATGCAAAAGCTTCACGGGATTAAGCATGCTCTTATATTATAGGGGATTAGAGATGCTTGAACCGGTGTATCCAATTGGGTCTAGAATACTTGAGACACCAATTTTCATTTTTTTTAGATTTGATGTCTCTATGTTGGCCTTGTAGAGTTTATAGTATAAAGCTCCCAAGATGCAAGTGTGCTAACTCGTCACATGACCCATTAGCCTAAATGAATTGATGTTGATGTATATAATGGATTGAAATAGATGGTTGTGTTGTACCCACCATGAGCGAGTGGGAGATGTTAGATATTGGGTTTGGGTCATGGACTCAAACTGTGTTGCCCATGATGGGTCGGCCCAATTAGAGAATGCCAAGGGGCATGACTTTTGGAGTTACCCTTTTGCCACCCAACATACATGTCTGTTAACATTTAGTAGACATGTCCCTATAGGATGTACCTCTCCAAGGCACATATTGGTTACCTATATAAACTCTAAATAACACCTAATAGATATTATTAGAAAAACTATAAATGTTAAAACTCTCCTGCTCTCTTCCGCTATTTACATAATGTTGAAAGGGTTTTGAGCCTTGAAAACTCAGTGTTAATTCGTCTTGAGTAAAAATACAATACTACTCGAGCAATCAAAGAAAAGACGATTTTCAGATTCTAGAATACGTAGAACTTCCTCCAAAGATTTTGGATTAAAATGCAAGAAAGGTATGTCTTTGATCTTACGCTTTTGCAATATATATGATTCCCAACACTTTTAATTGCTACTCTACCTTCGCTTTTATCATTTTTTTAAATTGTTGCTCCAAATCTGCTCACACCATACAATAAATTTGATCAATGGACATAGGATTTAGTGCATTTGATGAGCTTGTCTTTTGTTTGTACACTGCACTCTGAGGCACTCCAGTACCATAGGTCTTACAATATCCGTGTCCATCTTCTCCCAATACCTAATGAAAAATCCGATCTCAAAGATTTGGTGTCTAATCTGACTCAGAAACCTAAAACAGTTGCTCCTAAAATTCTTCCTACGATTTAGAATAATTAATTAATAATGCTTAGATATCTTGTAACGAGTCGAATAAAAAATTATTTAAAATTGCATAAATATAAGCAACTGATACAATGACTTTTGCTACATCTGGGTCACATGGAACACCATTCTTCGTGCATATTTTGATATAAATGTTGATTTTATCAATGCAGTCTCCACTTTCTTCCATCTAAAAATATCAATGACCATAAACTAGATTTCAATACTTCTCAAACATAGATGTAATATTACATATCTAAGCATATTCATTTTAAACGTCACTTGCATGTCTCCATACTTGGACAAAGTGAGTTTGCCCATCCGGTGGATTAGGCCTTGATATTCATGATTCCTTGAATTTTGGATTGATATTTCCTATATCATCAATTACGAATTATTCAATATTAGTATTCTATTATTATAATGGTATACAAAAAATTGTACTCATACCTTCACTGGGTCATAATATGTTTTTTTTTTTTTGATGTTTGTGTTCTCTCCACATTTGTGTACATACTTTCAAGCAAACATCTCTAAATCCGGGGGGGTGCAAATGTCAAGTTAACCTACAACTATAATTGACGAAATTAGCTCATAATTAAGATTTGTTTTGTCAAAACAACACTATAGTCCAATAAAGTTCTCAACATTGAAAGAAACATACAATTTGCCTACTTATTTTTTTACAATAAGAACTAACATAAATTTCCCAAGTTATATAAATTTATATATGCACCTAATGGCGCCTGCATCCCATGTTTTATATGTGAAACTCAAATCATCTGTTGCCTTTTTGGCTTCATAGTATGAAGTCAAAAGTTTGTCTCCCTCAGGGAAAGCCTTGGTTTGCAACTGAAGTAACATTGTAAATGACTTGTCTATCCATCCATTGAGCATCTTGAAATGCAATAGTTTAACAATAAATGAAAATGTGGTGAAATGTGCACACCCTAAATTTAATTCACTTTCTACATCTTGTAGAAGTTTGAAATACATTGCAATTTCTTCATTAGGCCATAACTAGAGTTCATCTGAAATTAGTTCATCATTTTCAACGTTTGCACCTACATTTGGAATTCCCATTGCCTCATGCACCATTTTGATCATATTATCATGAACATCTGAATCAACTGAAGTGGCATGTAGGGTTCCCCATGGTTAATCCAATTCTTATACTTCTTTAAGAAAATCATGGAAAATAAGATGGCCTCGTACTACTTATCTTGACACAAAGAAACAATTTGCACATCTCTTACACGGGCAATAAATCGTTGAGCTTTCATGCTTATTGATGTATGAAAAGATAAGAAATTGGTCAACCCCATCAAAGTACTCCCGTGAGACCCTATTTGGTAAATCAATCACACTCTTGTCCTTTTTTTCAAATTTTCTCACTTTTTGTACCTAATGTTTCAATCATGCACGTATGAAAATTTTGTTAAAAAAACATGTTTGCAATAGTATATACCAAAAAAACATAATACAGGTTCTATGAATTATTTAGCAACAATATTCAACACGACATATTCCAAATTCAAACTCAAAACATTATAACCAAACTCATCAAGGCAATTAGAAAAAAATATCATCATATACATCAATGTACTATCATTCAAACTATAGGTAAAAAGTATTTTTGAAATTACACTATGTACTATCGTTTGAAATACATACGTGAAACATCAAGGAATTTTCATATCGAAACTAAATCTCAAGGTTACACTATCAGACCTTTTCTTCTTAAATGATAATGCAACACCATTGATTTCATAGTGTAACCTTTTTTCTTAAATGATAATGCAACACCATCAATTTCATAAAGCCCAGAGTGAGAAATTTTTATACAATTTTATGATAATAAATGTGGTAAATTCATCATTTGTTGTTCTGAATGCAATTTGATAAACTTATTCTTTTCGGGTTATTTTTTCAAAAATATAAACTCTATTTACTTTCGCCTTAACCTTGCTCCACTCAAGAGATTTGTTGGAATATTGGCTTATTAGTTTATTGGCACCCAAAATCCATGTATGATACCCATATGGACAAACATCATCAAAACAACACCTGTTCATAAATGAACTATCCCCGGGGCAATAAGAATGACTTATATATTATATTTCTAGAGAGAGAAGCTCTGCCTTCTCTCTAGAATTTTTTCTTTTCCATGAGTTCATCACAAGCACAACACCATATTCCACCAAAACCTCTAGATTCATCCAATAACACTCATCAAAGCTATGCATCTTTATTCAAAAACCAATCCCAGCAAATCTTTAATGATTCTATACCAGAAAAAATTGAGAAGCCTATAGTATTCTATGAAAGGGAGCCTGCATTTTATTTTACGAATGATGTAAGTGCAAAAGTCATGCCAATCTCTGCAATATGTTTTGATTGGTAAGTGATCTTATGGTAGACCTTCCTTGGGAGTTATAAAAGAAGTGATTAGATCCAAATGGAACCTGAAGGGAGACTTTGAAGTTGGATCGATTGACCAGAGAAATATGATCAAACCTCACTGTCAAGACCAAGTGTGGCAAGAGTGTGTGTGGAAGTTAACCTTCTACTGAATAATCCTTCTAGAATATGGATTGACATGGGGGTGAGAGAGCTAGATGGCAACGAATCATCTATGAGAATAACAAACAATTCAGCAAAAGTTGCAAGAAACAAGGGCATGGCGAGGAAGAATGAAGGAAAAGGAAAGTTTCAGTGTTGATGGATGAGGAGAAAGGAAAAAAACCAATTTCCAAAGAGAATGGGGCAGTAAAGGAAAGAAAATCCAGCAAGATCAAAATTCTGACAATTCGCACAAGGTACTAGACAACGAATCACTAAGCCTCAATTAAAGCAGAATAATTTAGCCCAGCCAAGTAATGGCGTCTGGAAGCAGCAGCAGAAGCCAAACCAACCAAGCAATTCCCAGAAGTCAATATCTAGTAAGTTGGGAAAGTCAATTAATTTAAATTTACAAACAATAGATTTGGAAACAGACAAATCAATCACAGTTTTGGAAAAAAGAGAGCATTCGGGGAAGGACAATACTCCTATCTTAGGCAAGGATATTTTAAATATGACAACTATGCATTTGGAAGAATGTGTGAATCCTGTTCAGGATTCTGCAACTGTTGCTGAAGCTTCGCTGGCTCCTGTGGAAGAAGGGCAACCACCATCTACTGCAAAAAAAACACTTTCCCCCTCTTCCGCCTTTGACCCTCCTTCAATGGTCCAAAAGGCATTGGCTGAAAACCTGAATCAACGGAATAAAGTATCAGACACAAGTGCAATCTGAACATTTACTAATCATAAGAAGGCAGCAAAAGAGGTAGACAAGTACAGAAGTATGCAATTAGATGATTCTACTTATTATATAGACCATGCATATACTTGTGGAAAATTCTCCAATGTGAGCTTAGATGAGGGTTTGGATTATTCTGTGCAAAGGAACCCCCAGACAGAGATTTTTATTCAGATGGAGACTTACCTGTCAATTCTGACCCTATAGAGGTAGAGTCTCAAGATTCAGAAGTTGATGATAGCTACAGTCCAAAATTAAGAAGCTTAGTGGTTGTTCAAATTGGCATGGTAACCAGATCAAAATCTGGTCTAGTTAAGAACTCTTTTCAGCTTTAAACGATTAATACGCTTTTATGGAATATGAGAGGATTAGGGAAGGCCCCAAATAGAGGCGTCTGAAGAATTATTAAAGTTGCAAGATGTCTGCTTTATAGCAATCTGGAAACTAAGGGGAGAAAAGTCTGGCAACCTAGCCAAATTTCTAAATATATCATCTCATCAGGTTAATGATAGGGCTGAGAAGCATGCATGGATTCTGTGGGATCAAAGGCTGGTTGTGAAGGTGGTGGATTCTCATGTGCAAGCCCCCTTCAGTTGAGGCTTCTTTCTTAGGCTCTATGCCTTTTTGGATTACTGTGGTATATGCCCAGTGTGATTAGGTGCTAATAAGACCTCTATGGGAATTTTAAGTAATTTGCAAATGAATTCAATGCCATGGATGGTGGCAGGCGATTTTAATGTATTGTTCACTCTGGAGAAAGAAGTATGTGGCTCAGTTCCTTCCTAGTATCACACTATGGATGACTTTGGGAATTTTATTCAGGCAATGGCTTAATAGACTGTGGTTACTTTGTTGGCAATTTTACTTGGTGTAACAATCAACAAGGAAGAGCAAGGATGTGGCAAAGACTGGATAGAGTGTTACATAACCTGGGTGGAGTTTTAAATTTGAATCTACAGAAGTGGTGCACAGTCCAGAGGCAAGTCAAATCATTGTCCTTTGTTGATTACATCCAGGATATTCATAATCTTCAGAGGATTGCCTATTTTAATTTTCAAAGAATGGAGGGTACAACACTCGTCATTTTAATCTTTGATTGCTGAGAGATGGAGGGGAATTATTCATCTAATCCTACTGAATTAGTTTTGAAATTAAAGTATTTAAAGTTTCACTTAAAACAGTGGAACAAAGAAGTGTTTGGTAATATATTTGAGAGAATTAAGAAGGAGGAAGCAGCTCTAATGCAGGCTAAACTGGCGACAGAAGAAGATGCTTCAGAACCTAATTTGATGCTTTTGGAAAAGGCCAAACAAGACTTGGATAACAGGTTGGAAGATATATATTGGAAGCTATGAGGTGGTCCTTGGAAGGAGAGGGAATACTAAGTTCTATCATGCTATAGCTAGAGGTAGATTTGGCAGGAAAGAAATAAAGAGAATTAAAAATGAGGAAGGAGTATGGCTGGAAGATGAAAAAGATATTGCATATTGTGATGTTAATTTTTCTCTCAACTTTACACTTCGGAACAACATATTTTGCAGGATAAGCTATTCTCACCATTCCTAAGATGGTGTCATAGGCAGAAAATGATATGCTTACAGCGCGCAAGCAACTATGGAAGAGGTGCAGGAGATAGTTTTTTTCAATGTCAGCTGACAGTGCTCCAGTTTAGAGAATTTTCTGGGAATTTTTTCCATGAGGCTTGGATATAATTAAGGGCGATATTCTGGCTGATGTGATTTTTTTTCCTGGAGGGAGGTGTGGTACCAAGATCAATTAATGCTACCTTGTTGTCATTGATCTCCAAGAGAACAATCCCACTTCTTTTTCTGACTTTAGACCAATCAGCCTTTGCAATTTTGCCTACAAGATTTTTACAAAAAATATAGCCAACAGGTTGAGTATTTCTCTGCCCTCTATCATTTCTACTGAACAACATGGTTTCGTTAAGGGTAGATATATTGGGGGACTGTATATCTACAGCACAATTATGATTAATGAATTGGACCAGAAAAGTGGAAGGGGGTAATTTGGTACTGAAGCTAGACATGATGAA